ACAAATTCGTCCACCATCTTTATTGTGCTAGAGCCCGACTTGTTGAACAGTAATAAGCGTGTGTCTCCTTCAGGCCTTGTTTTGTGCCTATGTACGGATTACAAATGAGACTTCAGATCCTTATCTGCAGCTACCTCTGGGAATTTATTGGCCTTTTATGTCTCATCAATCTGTTTAGCAGCTCCCTGCTTATTGTGACAAATTGCCGCCTTCTTTACCTGTCTGGACAGCCTTGTGTTTGGGTTGCATGTTTGGACTCAACAACACGTCGGGTTTCTTTTTTTTTCCGGTTAAGGACAGTTTTGAGTTACCAGTTCTTGACGTGGTTATTGACTTTTCAATAACAATGAATGATTTGCTTTCAACTTTAAAACACTTCAGAAGCAAACACTGCATTTTAGAGTGATTTAACTCCACTCCTTTTATTTGGCAGCTGCAGTCATTGGTTCAATGTTACCGACTTTACAAAGAGCAATATGTATATTTCTAAAAACATGTGTCATAGATGAAATAACCAAATGTAACATAAAACTACTAAAAATAACAGATAAATAACATATCATTGCTTAAAACACAGCAACATTTACTTTTTTCAGTTTTTTTTTCTAAGAATAATAGATTTCTCCAAATCTAGATACTTTTTCCTGAGCATTGTGGAATACCACAGGAGTTCTGAGCTGCTTTTGACCCTTTCTATCACCACAGCTTACTATGACATCACTTCTTAACATTCATATAACTCAGACTTACTCGAATGGATATTCTCTAGACATAATTTTATTGGATCTCACCCATTAATCACATTTTACCCTAACAGAAGAAAAAGCAGCTCATAACTCAATTAAACAGACTTTAAACACGACCGTGATTTTGTCCTAGTTCGGCCAGAAGAGGTGGTTACAGCTTTGCTTAGGTTTGACAACACATTATATTTACTCGACATCAGCAGTGTGGATTTGCTTCAGTATTCAGACATTTGACAGGCATATTGTAGGAACGTGTCCATTAGCACTGCTTCACAAAACACTAAGTCAGCGCAGTGGGAAAACTGCTATAGGAACAAGAGCTAAGAAAGTGCAGTTACTACAGCAGGGAGACACAGCGCAGTTCACAGGGGATCTGTAACCTGTTCTGCTTCAGAAGAGCAGCTTATGAACCCATTTTACTTTTCAAGTAAACAACACAAGTCTGGCTTAATTAAATTCTACTCATGTAGAAGCCCTGGTAAGAAGAGGTGGTGGGTTTTTCCATTTTCTCTGGCTTCAGTTTAACTACCACACACACATAACCGCACAAAAAAAATCAAATAAAAAAACATTTCTACTTCTGGTACCGGTTTTAAGTCTTAAAGCGCAAATGCAGATGATATATTTGTCTGCCAAAGAAAACTTGGTGTGACATTTTGCATCTTGTAATACAAACTTGTCCTAAAAGGAGCTGACAAGTGCTCTAGGGTGGATGTATGATAACTGCAGCAAACAGAGAGACATAGAGCATACACTGTTGGGCCTGCGAGACCTCAGCTGCAAGATCAGTCTCTGTTCTGGGATTTCTATCAGCCCCTCAGACCCCGGTTCCTACCAGAGAGATATGGTGGATCACAACAGGCACCCTCCCCTGAGTGAAACCTCAGACAGCTGACTTGGTTACAAACTAGCAGTCCTGAAATACAGCCTCCAAAACATTCATTCCTCATGAAGAAAAATAAATACTGTTGGTGAGAACTAGATTGTGGTCTAATAACTGTTACTTATGCATCCTTGAAACCAACCGACCATTAGCAGCTCCAGAATTGGAAGCCGGTATTTTGTCATTCAAAACAGGTCTTCAAAAACAAGAAAAAAATATTGGGTAAATCCCTGGTCCGGTGCTTCGAAATCACGACAAAAATAGTCACAAATACAAGTACTCCCACAGTATGCCTTCGACTATTTCAGTCAAATTAGGGAGAAGCAGCTTAGGTGAAATCTCGGAAATATTCTCTGATACTCTGATGTAATTCAGGACAAGAAGTCAAGCCTGATAATTCTCCGTACGCGCAGTAGGAGCGTGGCGAAAGCAGGGCCGTACGCCAGGCTGCTTTCTGGCGCTGAGCACAACGCTAAGCCCCATTGACAGAGCCAGCTAAGAATCAGCGAAGCCTTCCAGAAGGAGTGTGATGCTGTGCCACTGTAGAGTAATACTCTTGTAAAAGGGCTCTACCTGCAGAGCCAAGGGTTTGCCTGCTTTATCCTCTTAAAATCACCAAACAGGATCACAAAGCACATACTTCTCACCTTTCTCCTCCAGCTGTTCTGGTCGATGTTCTGCTGCCTGAGTCTATTTATCCAAGGCTTCCTAAGACTCCTCACTCCTTCATCATCTAAAACCCTGAAGACATCATTGAGGGTGGACTTGTCTGGAATTAATAAATCATTCTCAACCACGGCATTTGTATTTCATCCAGTGGAATCATCAAATGTTTCCAAAAACCAAAAATAACACAAGACTTTCGTGTATTGTTGCTCATCGAACCATCCATAAAACAATGATAAAGTGGAAACAACACAACAAAAAAACAACTGAGGTCAAATTCACCATTTATGAGTACGAGCTAATTTAGGCCTACACAAAAGCGATGTATTTATATTTAGTTGAGTATATTTGGAATATGTTATAAAATGCTTTAAAAAACTGATGAACTCCTGAGCAAAAGAATTTAAAGCTGATTGGCCAATTTCAAATAAAGTTAAAATAATTCTGGCCAAACCTTATCAATTAAAAAGCAGCACACCAGCACATTTGTTTCATGCTCCGGTCAGATACAATATGACATTCATACACGCTCTCTTTTGCCACCAATATCAACATTATTCTCACTCGGATCTAACCGGCATTATTTCTAATAGTATAGTAGTAATAACATTGAATGTGCTTGGACAACAGCTCTATACTGAACTATGTATGGGATAAATAAAAAAGTTAAGATGACTTAAAACATCCAAACTTTAACAACTTATTTCAAATTATTAAGCTGAATTTCTTTACCTTTCAAAAGTCCTCACTTTAACGTTGGTAACGTGTCTGTTAGCACTGCTTGATCAGCTAAATAAAAGCGTCTGCTAAACAAATTAGCATTAGCAACTAACATCAGCAACTAACCTTCATTTTGTGACTATTACACAGGGGTGGACAATTGTTCTTAGTCACCACGGTTTTGCTTGTTTTCCTTCTGACCCATCCGATTTCTTTCTACAAACCACGCTGTTGCCCTGTCTATGAATTTGTAGTTGAGAAAAGAAGCATTACTGTACTTTCACTGTGTGGCTTTTGGACTATTTGGCCTATGCTTTCCATCAGAACATCTGACTCTGCTGTCTGATGTCTTTTTCAAATCAGTAAGGGGGGGGTTACGGCACAGTTTTTCTCATCCTGTCCAGCACCTGCAGCCCAGGAAAAACTATTGGCTCTAATCTTGTATCTCTCAGCTGTTGCCACGGTGAGAGGGTGACCACTGCCAACCAACAGCTTTATCCCTGACCGGCAGAGGGGAAAGCCTATCTCATGGACGCAAAAACAGGACACCTGCACACAAAAGACACGCAAATGTACACCACAAAGTCACGGCTCCATCAGACATGGCTGTGAGCAGCTGCACAGATGTTGCCTGGCTCATGTGACCTGCCTATTTCCAGCATGGGCAGGTGTAGGCGTGCGTACACCTGCGACTCATATGAGTTAGCCTCTCCATACATCCAAACACATGCAAAGTGCGACGTGCACACGCACGTCGGCCCGTAAAAACACACGCGCACTCCCACTGACTCCCAGCTGGCAGAAGTTGTGACAGTGACAAGTGCTCTGAAGAATGAGATGGGACCGGATTATTCTCTTTCACTCGTCGGCGCATGGCTTAATTTTAGGGACAGTTTTTTATAGTCCGGCAGGAAAGATTTATCAGCCAACTCTGCGGCTACATTTGCTCTAACACACTGTTACTTCCACTGAGTAAAGGGACATTACAAATAGCTACGGAGAGCACCTACCAATAGATACGTTAAACCATTTTCAATTAAAGTTAAGTTCTGTGGAGGAAAACAGAAGGTCAAAAAGAAAAAAAGGAATTTACTGTCAGCTACAATAAACTTGACGGGGACTAAAAGTCGGAGCAGAAATTGAAATGAGTAATAAAAGTTTTGTGAGTGAAAATGCAGCTCAGTAGAGCTAAGCAAATTTGCATTTAATCAATTTGAAAAAAGGTTTTAATGCAAAGTTTGCTGCTGAGACATCGTGTCCACGCACGCACACACTTGCACGGAAGCACACATTCCAAGAACTCATCAGCCCGACGACATTTCACTGTGCAATCCATCTTAATCAGCTAGCCCATCAGAGACAATATATCCTCCCCTCCATCTCGCTCTCCTTCTCCGGACGGAGTGATTGAGGGGTGTAAAGAGGAGGATGTTCCTGCCCAATGTCTCCTCCCCCATATGTACCCCCACCCACCACCCCCCTCACCAGGACAGCTCTTAAGTGCTTGTGGGTTTTTATGTTTGTAGTGTTTTATAGGAGTGGGCAGGAGCCAGGGGCTGTAAAAGTGTGGAGGGAGGGCAGGGGGGGTTGGAAGGGGGTACATAGGAGGTAGGAGGAGTTGAGAGTTACTGTAAATCCAGGCTTTATTGAGAAAGACACAAACTAACAGTGCCTGCCCGACCTCCCTACAGCACCCAGCTTACCAGATCGATGAGGGCTCACTGAGGACAGGCAGAGGGGAGGGACAACTAAGATTCCACCTGTTAATTCACCAGTCTTTGGTCCCGTTTTGTCTGGATCACTTTCCATTTAGACATACAAGTGTGTGCACCTCTCTGTGTGCACGCAGTGTGTGTCGGTTGCTCTCTGCCAGCCAGGCCTGGAAGCCCCCCTCCAAACATACCCACCAGTCTGCCAGTATGGCGTATAATTGGCCACAGTTGGCTTCAATTGAATGCCTCCCGCCTTAGGGGCTAAATGACGCTTCAAGGCCTCAGCCAGAGAAAATCCACTGCACTCCCATCCCCGTCAAAAACCCACGGCGCTATCTTGGAGGCGTTCAAGCTCAGGAACTCTGTTGGTAGATCCACAAACAGGAGAAGTTCATCTCCTGAACGGGTTTAATAAAACTGTTCATTGCCCTCTTTCAATTCAATGTCGCATCACTTCAACCACGACAGTCACTCAGAGCCTCTCAAGCAATCAGTTACTCATCGGAGAAAAGGTCATCAGCTTAGTCAACAAAATGACCAAAGAGAAAGTCAGCTGGACAGCCAATTAGTCTGACAGGAAAGGATGATCGGACTCTGCTACCCAAAGCTCCTTTGAGGGTACCCTCTACCTGCTTGTTGCCATGGTGATGAATTCCAGGATTTAAATACTAGCCCGTGTCCTCATCCTGTCTCACTTTTATCTTCTTCTTTCCACTCCTCCAGACTCCTCTCTTGCTTTTTGTCAGTTGGAGTGCCGACTCCCTCGCGCTCCATCTTTCAGTCACGTTTCCCCGGGCATTGTTAGGTTTTCCAGTCTCCCTCCCCTCACCTTGTCTTGTCCTCTCTACAAAATAACACTTTACTAGCCGTTTCTCCTTGTTAATAGCATGCTTCTTTGCATCCGGCAGCTCTGTAAAAACTCCTGTAAAACACATACCCTAATTCAAACTCTCCCATCCAGACACGCGCAGACAGTTACTTACTGTGTAAACACATATAATTACTTAAATATTTGTTGGCAGATGGGTGACTGAATGCCTGCAAGTGTACACACAAACACAAACAATAACCCTGTAAATGAGAGTCAACAATCAACATATTCACGGGATGCTGGCACGGCATCCATCTGCTGACAGTCAGCTGCCAGTGAAAATCCATCTTTTTCAGCTAAAGCCTCATCATCGAGCATCATTTAGGAATGCTGGACTGCCTCGCTCTCCCCCGATCCATCGCCTGTGCCAAGACGCCGATTAAATTGTCCCCAAACAGCCTTTTAGGGGGATGTCTTGTATGAATAAACTGGCTTTTGGCTCCATCTAATGGCCATAGCACATTTCTTGTGAAGTTGCCTGTAAACCACATGTGATGGCAGGGCATTAAAAAAGTGTGAGCAAATTATTGATCTGCAAAAATGTTTTTTATATATATATATATATATATATATATATATACACACACACACACACACACACACACACACACACATAAGGCATCAGGAGCAGACATTATTAAGTGACTGGTACCAGTTTTGCTTCCCTCAACACTTTTGAGAGATGACTTACAATTAAGATGTTGGATCATGCCGAGATGTCAACACACACATCTGTCTGATTTTTTTTTTCTTGGGTCCTTTCCTTTTTTTCACCGATCTTGTTGCTCTTACCAAAGTTGTAAGTGGAGTCTCATAAGTCTCACCATTTCCATGTGCCTGTCTTTTGGATTATTTTGCTGTTTTTTCGTGTACGTGAATTTCTTTCTTCGACACTTGTGGTCTCAGATTTCCAACAAAAAGATTAACTAATAAATAAATCTATTTTTTCTATTGTATTTTATTGTGTGAGCAGATACATAATTGGTGACCGTATGACCGTATTAATTTTCAGGACACGTGGAGACACAGGAAAAAAGAAAAGTGCACACACATTCACACGCAGTCCTACCTGCATTGACAATAGCATCTATCTCCAGCTTTGTGATGTCACCGCTGTACAGAGAAATCTTCCGATCCAACTTTTCGTTCCTTTGGTAACGACTTGGCTCAGAACCACCTTAAATATGACACAAAAGTGGTCAGGTATAGGTTGATATGTCTCAGTACGTCCTAAACGGTAGAACGAGTAGAAAATATCAAATGAACTATAAATAAGATTATGTTTTTCACATATAATTACATGGATCTGGTTTTCAAGAGGGGGCATGTTAAAATATGATACCATATTGCCAAATCAATGAATCACAGCAGAAGTTTTTATAAATTGCTGCTCTTCCTTTATCTAAAATAACAGAGACTCTCAAAGAAAGAAAAACACATTAAAAGTTTTGCTTCACTTCCAAAAGAAGTTCTGAAAAATGGCTATTGTACAACTAAAATTCTATTTGTTTACTCATTTTGATTAATGCAAGTGACTTAAGGTGATTGAACTTAGTGGTCTGATGATACCGAACTGTAAAAAGATTAACATTCATCCAAATGTATAATCTCTAATTAATTATGCAAACAAACAGTCCAAACAAACTCAAGGTCACTCAAGTGAAAAGTGAAAGCAGCAACAACACGCTAAAGACGATTTATTTCTCATTTCAGTTGCGCTGGTGCTCTCTGTGTACTCTTACCATGCATGGAATAATTAATTAGAATGAGTTAATGAAATGTATCCCTAGGACAAGAAATACATTAAGTATGGAAAAAAATAACTAAAACGTAGGGACAAAATAATTAAACAGAGGTTATCTTGTGTCCAGTAGCATTCGGTGGTCACTCAAGCATAGAATTCTATATTGCACAAATGAATAAATAGTTTGCTCAGGTCTGTGTACTGTTAACTTCATGCAGTTTTCAGCAACAGTCACAAATATTGTGTCATGTAAAACTCCTTCCATAACACTTGTATCTCTTTTAAAGAAGAAACAGTCACATATTTCATGCCATCGCATTTGAAGATGGTTTTGAACATCTGAATTCATGTTTATCCTTGTGTCAGGAAACTGCAGAAATGTTGACAATTAACACTTTCATTAAAACGCAGAAAGCTTAACTGCGAGTGATGGAAGACAAAGGTGACATTACTGCTTTTTCATTGGGATTATGTGGTTTAAAAAGCCCAAAAGATTACAGTTTGCTAACATTTCCAAATCAGAAACAAGGTTAAAGAGCTTTGACATGTGCTAGACAAATGGCACCAAATTATAACAGCCAAGAGAATTTTTGAATAAATGTTCATTTTTCATCAGCTTCTGGTGTGAAGTACCAGCAGTGTCTACAAGTTGTTTCAGTGTGTTCATAATTACATTTGTACAATTCCTATCAAATCTCATAGCCTTTCAGTTCTCCATGGAGCACATCTGTAAGCCTGAACAACGACGTGCTGTGACTGACCTGCAGTGGAGGTCCACGCCGGGATGTCATCAAGCGGCACGGAGCCCGAGGTCCTGTAGTAAGCACGCCTTTCATTCACAGGCAGCGAAATCAAGAGCTCTGGGACAAAAATATGAAAACAGAGAACAGAAAAAGATTTCAAATCAATGTTATTTGTTAAACAGTTAACCATTATTAAAGGTAAAGATCTAATTTTACCTTGAGACGAAGGCCTGACAAATATTGGATCAAAACTTCTTACATTTCAGGCTTTAACCGCTACTATAACAGTACAGACTCTTATCAACTTTGACAGGATTAACTCAATTATAAAATTGAATATGAACCCTCAGTACTTAGTGGGTTTCACACCTATGATTTTGCTGGATTTATAGTTCCGTCTCTGCTTTGCTTTAACAGAGGAGGATGCACTTTGCTTGTTGATGTGTCACCTAACTGCTCTCTGTCATCATCATGGGGGGGGGGGTTACTCTCTAGTGTGAGGCCACATGTGTGATCATTGAAACGTGGACAGCTGCTGGGATCAGGTGCCATCTCACACTTACCCCTCTCACTTACTGACCAAGAACCCAGTAGGGTTGTAAGGACACAGACTGAGTCGTGTGGGACACGGAATTACCACTCTCACCCTTGGTCTCCTTCCAGTCACCATCAGCAGAGTCCAGGTTGATTTTGAGGGCCATAGCGGTCACGACTCCGGTGTGGAGGCCCTGGACCAGGGCAGCTGTGGTCGCTCCGAGGGCGGTACCGAGGGCTAACTTGCCCAGCCAAAGTGCCCTCGCCCGGGGTGAGGAGGGACCTGTAGCCTGACCGGACCTCCAGACAGCTGCAGTTGTTGAGAATCTGGGAGCTCCAATTGAAGCGTTAATATGGCCGCGAACGGGACTTGTTACTGGCTTCCTCCCAAGCTGGGGGCTTACCAGAGTTAAAATGTGCTTGAACTTGACACCGGCTCGCTGGAGGTCGGCACCGGTGTGGGACACGGGGCCGGTGGCGCGCAGGAGGGCTCTGGCGCGTGACACCCGAGCGGACATTTGCAGCGCAATGTCTGAGCAACAGCGAGCGGAATAGCGAAGTGTGCTGGAGAGAAACGGTGTGGGCCACACAGTGGCTAGCTTTCGCTTTCGATAGTGATAACACTTTTCTCACCGCCACTTCTCATGTGCCATTTTTGTTTGGGAAGTGAACGTGTGGAATGTACCATTAATGCCGTTCGACGGGGGAGGGAGGAGGATACCAGCTGAATGATTTACGGTCAATAGTGCAGTGTTGCCAACTCAGCGACTTTGTCGCTATATTTAGCAACTTTTCAGACCCCTCCAGCGACTCTTTTTCGAAAAAGCGACTAGCGACAAATCTGGCGACTTTTCCAGTGTCACTGGCGGCTTTTGGAGACTCTTATGTGAAAGCACGTATCGTTCATAATCTTGTCCTCCAGCGGCAGCTGCTGCCGTGGGGCGCCTCCCCCCTCCCAACCCCGTTCTCCCGCTCCAGCAGGAGTCCCTCTCAGCGCTGCAGTCAGAGGCACCTGTTAGTTTTCGCGCCCACCCCCCGTCTCAGTGAGTTCTAGAATAATTTTATCTTTATCCAGCCAATCAGCAAAGATCACCCTACATTATAGGTTACTTTGTTTTGTAGTTTGACCAATCAGCAGAGACCACGGACACTTTCTCCAAAGTCAGAAAAATGAGCTTTTGCAGCTCGGTTCACTGGACATTTTCAAAAGAAACATCAAAACTAACCATGTGAACTTGATGAAACTCATACATTTTATTGTTGAATAGTTGTGTTTAGTGTTGACATACAAGTTGTTTGCTGAGGAATTATTAAAATTATTGAAAATACGGCTTGAAAAATGCAGGCACCATATTTGATCATATGCCCTTTTCACTAAAAACTAGATTTTACTTGGAATGTCTGTTTTTGGACATATGCCCAATGCATCTAACAAAACATACTATGCATTTTCTTTACAAATAAAGCAATACAACTTAGCATATTATGTTTTAAGGTCGCAAAAGTTTTTTATATCACTATACAGTGATTCTGCTCAATTTCAACACTGTGTTTTTAGTTTATGAATAGTAATTATGAGTGATTTTTGCCACTTGACAACCTGAGGCAATATATCAAAAGCAAGCCAGACAAGTGGGGTTTAAAGTTGTTTGCCAGGGCATCTGAGGATGGCTTCCTCCATGACATTGTGCTAAACCAGGGCAGGACTACCCTGGAGGCCCATGATGTTCCCCTGAAACCTGAACAAGAAGGCTTAGGTGCCACCAGCCAGATTGTATCTGTCCTTGCCAGTACCATGTCCTTCCCCACCACCACAGCCATCTATGCTGATAACATTTTCACCAGCCCGGCGCTAGTGCAGTACCTGCATTATATGTATTTTTATCTATGTATACTTATTGGAATTTGTTTTCCCACTTAAAGGCAAGTGACCAAATTTGATCACTTCATTGGCCTTGACATTTTTACCACTAAAGGGCAAGTTACCAAATATGGTAACTTCATTGAACTCGATTTTCTACATGAAAATAAAAGAATTTCAAAAATGTCACAATTGGAATAAAGTCTTATTATGTTGTCCAATGAGACTCTAAGGTTGAATTTTTTAATTTTAAAGTATTTCATTGAGTGCCCTATAAAGGGTTAATATACCTTATTCACCCTTTCAACCACACACTAATATATCCGGGAAATAAATAAATAGACAGACAGACAGACAGACAGACAGACAGACAGACAGACAGACAGA